TTCCCTCCTCCTGCTGGCCACACTGTTCTGATACAAGCCAGGATGCCATTGGCCTTCTTGGCCACCTGGGCACACTGCCGGCTCATGTTCAGCCGGCTGTCGACCAGCACCCCCAGGTCCTTTTCCGACAGGCAGCTTTCCAGCCACTCTTCCTCAAGCCTGTAGCGTTGCATGGGGTTATTGTGGACAAAGTGCAGGACCTGGCACTTGACCTTGTTGAATCTCATACGCTTGGCCTCGGCCCATCGATCCAGCCTGTCCAGATCCCTCTGCAGAGCCTTCCTACCCTCGAGCAGATCAACACTCCTGCCCAACTTGGTGCCGTCTGCAAACTTACTGAGGGTGCACTCGATTCCCTCGTCCAGATCGTTGATAAAGATATTGAACAGAACTGGCCCCAGTACTGAGCCCTGGGGAACACCACTTGTGACCGGCCACCAACTGGATTGAACTCCATTCACCACCACTCCCTGGGCCCGGCCATCCAGCCAGTTTTTTATCCAGCAAAGAGTAATCTTGCAATGATGCAGTTTTTCCACTAAGAGGTGGAAAATTGAGACGGAAGGGAATATTTTCCCTTCCATCGGTTGGCTGTCTTCTCTTTCCCAATAGTGTCCAAGTTTCACTGAACAACTCTGTTTCTGCACAGCCATTTCAGACTTCACGCCTTATCTTGAGCCAGCGCTTACTTTGATCTGGGTTCTTACAGTCTACAGTCATAAGTAGGATGTCTCATTTCAACATTGTTCCCGTTCTTCACTCATTGAGCCACATGCTTATGATGCATGTCATAACGAACTTCATTCCTTACGCCTGCTTCCACAGGCAAGAAATCCACATGCGCCAGCTTCTGCTAGTGACGTTCTCCAGATGCCCGGCTCTATTTGGTAACATTTCTCTTTTGTCACACTAAACGTGTCTCTCATTTCCTTTCACCATTCCAGCAAGCCGTGGCCATTCGGGGCAGCCGGGTCTCCTCCAGAGACATTCCTCTCAGTCGCTTTGCAGGGCTCTTCTGGCAGCCGGTGTGTGTCTGTGTCGATCTTCTAAGCTCCATCCATTGTTTTCACCTGTGTTTGAAAGGTCTGCTTTTCTCAGTGCAGCTATCTATTAATCATTTGTTGTTTAGCCCATTCTCCCTACAGTGGTTTAGCCCCAGAAAAGACAGAATAATCCCATTTGGGTTTGAGCCTGTCTTTTCCGTAAAGAAAATGTTACAGACATCGCTATTTTGCACTGGGATTCCTGCCAGTTAGCTGCATCGACAATAAGGATTGATTCTTTGGAAGATATTTTACTGAAGCTAAGGAAACACTTCTGGGGAGAAAACAAAGTTTTAACACGACACTTCAAAAAGAAGGCTATCCTGAGATCACAAGCCTATTGGAGTTTTAACTAAAAATCTTTCTTGGCTTGTCCACTGGAACCTCAGCCATCCTTGGGCTCGTGGTTGCTGGGGTAATGCAGTGCTGCTTGTAACACTTTCCCCTGATGTTGAGCTCACCGCTACCCAATGGACACAACTCTGTCCTGCGGCATTTGGGCAGGCATTTGTCAACGGTGGCCTGTCACTGCCTGGAAAAGCAGTACAGCATGAGCGGCCCCAGCGCTTCGCAGGCAGCCCTCTTCCAAGGAGGCGAAGCGCAGGCTGGGGCTGGGGCAGGGCTCACCGCTCCATCACCTCGAGGTGCAGCACCGCTTCCGGGCCTCCATCATGCGCAGCACCCAGGTCATCCGTGTTGGCGCCAGGCAGGTCATTATTTTCTAATCGGTCATTGCGCATCTTTTGTCAGAAGAAATCCCCTAGCGCCATGACATTTAGTCTGAGGCAGTTTGTGGGCTTTTCTTTGTGGCTTTTCTTTCCACATGGAAACTTGGTGCCCACTCGGACAAGCCAGTGGGTTTGTGGTGACAGCGTACATCTGCACAAACCACGGCGGTGGCTCTCGGGAAGGCCCTGAGGGCACGGGCAGGGGCTGTGCCCCTCGCAGCCCCGCTCCCGCCTTCGCCCG